TTTACTGTCAGAAAAGTCAAGGAAAATGCTATTTGTTTTTACACTGCAGGATCTCTACATAAGCAGAAAGATCAGGCCTATACATTTATTTTGGTTAGAAGAATAATCCTTGGGACGTCTAATTTACTTCAAAGAAAGCTATTCTCTTATAGAAACTTCACTGCCCCAGAGGTTTGTTATACTCTGAAATTTCATTAAAAAATAACATTTCCTTTCATAACAACCAAGAGAATATAGGGAGAAATGCCCATTTTTGCCAAACTCAGGATTGATCTGAGATCAAACCAGAGCTTTATAGAGATGTGTTTCATAATCTTCAAGGTGCTATAAAGTTGTTCAGTGTTATTATCTACCTAATGCCTATTAAGAAAAAACATATATGCTTTGACCCTTATATACTGTCCTCTCAGCCTTCTCTTTCATTGGGCACAGCTAATAGTCACCAGGTCTTTTATGTTTAAGGCTAGCACGTCACATAAAATATCTTTATTGAATATATTTTCAATATTCAGTCTATTCTCTAATGTGAAATTTTAGTTACTAAGAGACTTGCACATTTCAAAATGTGTAATTAAACAGTAATTTTATGTTCACAGAGAAACTGGGGACAGAGCATTTCAGAATCATAACAACAAAACTATTCGGCCTCCCCACCCCTATCCTCATCCCTTGCTGGAATTTCCATAATGTTAATTTTTTTTTAACTTGTAAGTGCATGGCTACAAAACTTAAACATCCCTGAACAATTCCAAAATTCGACCCCAGATCACTTTTGCTGAGAAAAACATACTCCTTTTCGTATCCCTGCGAAGACTGTTGTCAACTGGGAAAAAAACAAAAATCGTACAACGTAAGAGCTAGGAATTGAGTTAATTCAGTACCTTAGTGAGGAAAGTAGCCCAGCAAACAGCCTTTAAGGTAGCTCTGAGAAACTATTTCAAAGAGGTAGGGGTGGAGGCCAGTATGCCTATGATTTTGATGAAGAGGTCGGTGTAATCGAGCACACATCTCTGTAGAAGCTTGCCATTAGGCCTGAGGAACAGATACACCAATGAATGATTTTAGTGCTTTTTCTAGTGTAGGAAGATGCAAGAATCCAGGTTCATAAAAATTTCTCCTGAAATACTTCTAACTACATATGAAGGATTTCTTTTCTTTTTGCCTGTTTCCCCAGAGCACAGTGCTCCTCATCTTGATCTTGACCCTGAGCTCCTTTCAGGGTGCACCATCGTCAGCAACGGTGGTGGCTATGGCTTGGTTCTTGGAGAACTGGATGCTAGGTGACACCCTTTGCTTCACACACTCATTGAGAGAGTATCTGTGTGTTTTTTCACATTTATCCCCTGCCTGATGGAGCACAGGCTGCTCAAACAGAGCAGCTGGGTGGCAGTGGTGCGCCTGCGTTGCTCCTTGGACACAGGCAGGGTTAGTTCCAGAAAATTCTCATGTATGACCCATGACTGTCACCAAAGCACCTCTTATTTCCGAGCAGAAAGTTGTATTTAGATCTGAGTTGCACAACCTAACAGGTTCTCTTTACAAACTAGATACGGTCCATCTTTCTTCACTTTTTAGTCTTCTTACACCCTGTCCCCCATCCCCACCTCAACATTCCATCTAGGAGACATGAAACTTCAGACTGGTCATGGCCCCTTGTGGTCTCAAGTGCCTCATTTATTGAATGGAGATAATAATATTGTACTCACATCACAAAATGTTACAGGTATAGCATTATATGTGAAAAGTACAAAGCATTGAATGTATGTAATATGGCTATATAACACACTTCTAAAATTGTGCTTTATTTCATACTTGTGTGTGTTTTTGTCTTAACCACTTCCCTCTTTATAACCTTCTTAAAGACTGAAGTTGCGATTACTCAGTTGCTAATCTCTGTTTTTTCTCCTTTTTCCTATTTCTTTTTTTGCTGCAGCGGATAGTAATGTGCCTTACTCAGAGTAAACCTTCCATTTTTATATGTTGAATTACATAAGAGCACATTCATTTCCCCCCATTTATTTAATCTCCTTCAGATCAAATTCCTGTGTGCGTCTCTCATCTCACACTGAACTTAGTCCATTTCTTGTGTTGATGTTGGACTCTGCAAGGGCTTGATGGTACTCTGGAGGCACTCGCTGCTGCCATTAAATTGAAGCATGTCTGGTATTTGCGGCCCTGTGCAATTCTTAATAGGCTTTTTCTGTGTACTAATTGCTACTGGTTCGTTGTTGTTTTTCTTTTTTTGGATGAAGAAAATCAGAGTTAGGATAAGTGACTTGCCTGTGATCCCAATGCTAGTGAATGACTAGAACCCCATGTTCCTGTCTTCTTGCCTAGAGTTATTTCAGAATATCAGAGAGTAGTTATTTAGGGTGTGGGAAGGGTGTGTGTGAGGGCTGGAAAGCAGATAAGTAGGAAAGAGGTAACTTCATGATTCCTTACTCTGTTCTTTGTTGGTCAAATAAAATGTCCTTTGTTGTACCTCTTAAGAAGTGTTGAGAATGAAAAATAATTTTTCTTTACCTTTCTACGTTCTTGGCTGAAACCCCCCACAGTAATGAGATAGATTAACAATATTAACAATAAAGATATTTATATCATTAGGCTGACTACCCAAATTTGCTTTTTTGGACAGTTATTATTTTTTAAGAAAGTTATTTTTACTAAGAAAGCAGCTTTAAAATGGCAGTGTTTTACATATATATGTGGCTTTTTAAACATAAAGTTATCTAGAACTAGGCAGCCCATAGAGGGTATGGCAATTTTACAGTCATCAAAGATAAGTGTTTAGGCCATCAAGTCAACACGTATTCAGGCACCAAGAAGGAGGGAAGAAGGGGACAGGGATAAAGAGACGCAGACAGCTTCCTTCAAGGAGCCTTCCAATTTTTCTTTTGTTTGGCGTCTGCAAATACCTCTTTTGATTGTTACACTAAAATCTATTTATAAAAATTTTGGTTAGCTGGTTTATAGGTCTTAGTTATGAGGTTCTACTTTCATCAAGGAACACAGCAGTTATTTTATTGAAATTGAAATTGCAGTTGTCTATTGAAATTGTACATTTCAATAGAAAAGAAGGAAAAAAAGGAGGGATGGAATGATTGGTATTTTTTTAACTTTTTATTTTTTATTGGAGTATAGCTGATTAACAATCTTGTGATAGTTTAAGGTGGACAGCAAAGGAACTCAGCCATACATGTAGATGTATCCGTTCTCTCCCAAAGCCCCCTCCCATCCAGGCTGCCACATAACATTGAGCAGAGTTCACTGTGCTATAGAGTAGGTCCTTGTTGGTTATCCATTTTAAATATAGCAGTGTGTACATGTTGATTTCAAACTCCCTAACCATCCCTTCCCCCTGTTCTTCCCCCCTGGCAACCATAAGCTCATTCTTTAAGTCTGTTTCATAAATAAGTTCATTTGTATCATTTCTTTTTAGATTCCACATATAAAGGATATTATACAATATTTCTCCTTCTCTGTCTGACTTATTTCACTCAGTATGACAATCTCTAGGTCCATCTATGTTGCTGCAAATGGCATTGTTTCATTATTTTTAATGACTGGGTGATAGTCCATTGTATGTATGTACTATATCTTTTTTATCCATTCCTCTGTCAGTGGACATTTAGATTGCTTTCATGTCTTGGCTGTTGTAAACAGGGCTGCACTTTTTCTAACTGCACTTCCATTTAAATCACATTAGGCTGAACATAGTTATGCAGCCAAAATTGATGCAAGTCAGTCTTGGACGTGTAATATTTTAGCTGAGCGCTTTGCTTCCCTGAATAACATTAATGTTTTGTTACTAAGCAATAACACCTGAATGTCCATCAACAGATAGATGGATAAAGAATATGTGGTATGTATATATGTAATATTTTATATAATTACATATATACATATACAATGGAATGTTACTCAGCCATAGAAGAATGAAATCATGCCATTTACAGCAATATGTATGGACCTAGAGATTATCATGCTAAAGCGAAATGAGAAAGACAAATATTATATAATAATGCTTATATGTGGAATCTAAAAAAAATGATACAAATGAACTTAATTTACAAAACAGAAATAGACTCACAGACATAAAAAGCAAACTTATGATTACCAAAGAGGGGGGAGGAGGTACAAATTAGGAATTTAGAATAATACATACCCACTGCTGTATATAAAATAGATAACCAGCAAGGACCTACACTACATAGCCTAGGGAACTCTAATCAGTATTCTACAATAACGTATAAAGGGGAATAATCTGAAAAAGAATAGATATGTGTATATGTATAACTGAATCACTGCTATACACACAAACACACAAACTAACAGAACAGTGTAAATCAACTATATGTCAATTTAAAAAAATAAGAAAGAATGGAAGGATGAATATTGAGTGAGCAGTTAGCAAGTTTCATTGTAGTTAAGAAGGATTTCACACACATAGACATACACATGCACACACACACATATATTTGAATATACAAAGTAATAAGAGATTCCTTTGATATTGTTGTAGGCTCTATACTAAAACCTGACCAGAGCAAGAAGGGAAACAGGGTCAGCTTCTTTTCTGTTTACATGGTAAAGGTTTCAAGAAATATTTTTGCTTTTGACTTTACCATGAAGAATAGCATTATTGAATTTAGACACAATAAAACAAGATATTTTAATTTAGTCCAATATATAGTAATAAAATAAATCAAAGCTTTAACTAGTCCTTGGCTCACCCTCATGGTCCTATCTACATTTCCCTTCACATTAATTAATATTTCCCTCAAAATAGGAATGCTTTGAAGCCGGTGTACTTGTTTTTATATTGATAGTTCATAAGCAACACTTTTTGTTCCTTTAGATTTATCACTATGAGAAACAATGAAATGAGGCCTGGGCTATCACAAAGCTTAGACACTAGATTTAGCATGCTTGCCACATATTATAGCCACTTAATTTAACTCATTTTCATTTTTCTCCCTCCTTGACTGCCTTCTCCACAGGCTATATATTGATGGTCCCTTTGGAAGTCCATTTGAAGAGTCACTGAACTATGAGGTTAGCCTCTGCGTGGCTGGAGGCATTGGAGTCACTCCGTTTGCATCAATCCTCAACACTCTGCTGTATGTCGTTTTGATCCATTATATTAGTCCACATAGAGAGCTGTCTATTTCAGACATCTCTATTAGTAAGACGTAACTCCTTACAGAATTCTTCTACTTGTTCAAAAAACCCTATATACAGGTTGATAAGGGGAATAAATGAGTGCTTCTCAATACGTGGTCTATGGCTTTCAGCATGTTCTCTTGTAAAATAATATCCGTACCACAATTATGCCTTACTCTGTCTTTTTCCTCTATTAAAGTCATTCCACTGGCCCCTATTTCTCTGCTTTCTCATCAGGGGTAAGTGGTATTACTAATTCATTTAGTCAACAAATATTTTTGAGCATTTATGTGCAATTGATCTTATAGTTACTGCTAATGTAGTAATGAGTGAGTAGTGTCTCTGCCCTTGAAAAGTTTACTTTCAAATAGGGCAGGCAAAAAATAAACCAGTGAAAAATTCACAAACAACAGCATTTCAGAAAATATTAGAAGTGTGGTGAAGAGAAGAAAGATTAATGGAATATAGAAATAAAGGGTCAGGGTTATTGTAGAGGTATCGTCAGGAAATCCTCTCTGAGGAGATGACAAATGAGCATATCATTCCTGAGTCTGTTACTCAGCAGATTTATAACAGACTGAAGAATAGAAATTTCAGAGGTAAGATTGCTTAAGCAGGATATACTTATTCAGTTATTTTAGTTTTGGTTTACAAGCAAAAATTAATTGACAGGGATTATCATGAAACCACAAACAAAATCTATTCCATTCACTTTTCAAGAAAACACAATTTTCATTAAAAGCTTGTTTTATGAAGTATGAAAAAAGAAATAATAATTTGAAGTGATGTGTTTGAATGATATTTCGATTTTAAAAACTTGATATAAATTTGGGACTTTGGGGAGGTTCTTAAAAAATTAACTATATTCCAAATAGAAATTACTTGTTTCTGAAAACATATTGCAAGTTATTTGGACACCTAAAGTTTAAACAAGGGAATAATATTTTGTTAACCTCAAGCTTACTTCATAATTATAAGGAGGAATCCAGACTTGGAATTGTGAATTGCTGGAATGCATTACATAGTAGGTGGTTGTGAAATCTCTTTCTTTAATGATTATTAAGAAGGGGATAAACAACCAGCTTTCTGGAATGGTTTTGGCTCATTTTGCCTGGAACCCAGGGCAAGATGACCATTGGTGCCCTTCTGAGTGATAGAATTAACCGAAAAATAAGAAAACTTTTTTCCTGAGATGCAGAGCTGATCCAAGAGTTTAGTTTATTGCCTTCAATTGGAAATGTGTAATATGCATATAGTATCCACAAGCATGAGCACTTTAATTCATGGATTATATTATATCTCTGACTCCGTATATTATATTTTAAATTAATTTGAGAGTTAGAGTAAGTGGTGTATCAGATACTAGAATGTAAATGACTGTTTTCTCTGTAGATTACTTACTAATGAGAAGCAAAATCTCAAGGATATAGGGATTCTTAATTCTTTTGCCATCATAATCAGTTCTGTGTTATTTCATTTTTAAAGGGATGACTGGAAACCATACAAGCTTAGAAGATTGTATTTTATTTGGGTATGCAGAGATATCCAGTCCTTCTGCTGGTTTGCAGACTTACTCTGTGTGTTGTATAACAAGGTAAAATTAGGTTTGTTTTTACTTTTGCAGTCTTTTTTAATTTTAAAAGTAGCCATTTTATTTCAGATTATAAAAGTAATAGGTGCTCACTATAGAATAATATGCAGAGGAGTAGTGAAGAGGAAAAATATTCCTTAAGCTTAAAAAAAAAAAACGGAGATATAATCTTTTAATAATTTGGAGAACATCTTTCCAGATATTGGTATCTGTGAATTTGTATATCTAGGACATGTTTTAACATAGAATGTTTTAACATGGAAATGAATGCATATGGTTGGTAATACATGCATATCGGAAACATATTATGCAAATGTGAATGCAAATGGGATTGTGACTGAGGACAGATGGAAGAAAACATCTGCAGACAATTAATGTTACAGTTTTCAGCCTTTATTCTCATAGTTCGTATCTCCAACTTCAACATTCCAAGTGGATCATCAGCCGACTTTTGGCCCAGTATACAGAATTTCAAAAATCCCAAATTCTAAGCTGTATTCTTTTCAGAGATGAAAGCATGCATTTTCGTCTGTCTTACCTGCAACTTTTACTTCTCTGTTAATATATCTATTTTTTAAGTTATTCAGGTAATACATATATGCATCGTTGCTACAGATTTTTGTAATAATCTACATGAAGCAACATCTCTGTCCAATCCGCGTAACCAGATGTTACTCATTGGCATTCTGAAAATTCTATCATACTATTTATATTGTTCCGCAAATTGCTTTTTTAAAGTGTATTTCTATCTAACCAGACACAAAAGGGCAAATACTGTGATTCCTTTTATATAAGGGACCTGGAGTAGTCTAATTCATAGAGACAGACAATAGAATGGTGGTTGCCAGAGGTTTCCCAGAGGGCAAATGGGGAGTTACTGTTTAATGAATATAGAGTTTCAGTTTGGGAAGATGAAAAAATTCTGGAAACGGATTGGTGATGATGGTTGCACAACAATATGAACATATTTAATGCTAATCAACTATATACTTAAAAACAGCTAAAATGATCAATCTTATGCTATGTGTATTTTACCACAATTTAAAAAAAAAGTGCCGATTCCTGGGACTCACCAAGGGCCTGCCAAATCAGGAGAAAAAAAGCAGAGAGATGAGAAGCCACTGAAAGGATTTGAGCAGACTGATATGATTGTAGGTCATCTTGAGAGTGAATGTGAAAATACAATTCTCGGGATACTGCAGCTTCCAGAGGAGCAGAAAATGAGTAATAAGTCAGGAAAGGAGATTAATCAGAGTGGCCAGTGAGGTGGTAGGAAATCGAGGGGTAGTAGTTCTGTACTTAAGGTTAAGAGGGGAAAATCTTTCAAGAAGAGCATGGTCCCCACTTTCAAGTGTGTTTTCTCTAGATTAATGTCTAAAACTGGACTTCCTGAGTTGGAGGCTGTGAGGACTTCAGGAAAGAATTTAAATTTGTAATAGATACTGACAAAATGCCCCCATAGATGCTAAAACAATTTACATTTCCACCAAACGATATAAGAGAAATTTACTCCAAATGTTATATTACCAATCTTTTACATTTCTAGCCATTTCTTAAACTAGGGGATCTCACTGTATTTTTCCTTGAAACAAATGAGATTGGACCTCTCTTCCTATGCTTATTAACCACTTGTATTTCTTGCTGGAGTTCCCATTTCTACCTTTCTAGATTAAAATTTCTTTCTTGAAAAAGTATAGAGCTTATAATTGTATCCAAGAGCACATTTAAATAATAGGTGCTTTATGGGGCAAGTAGCAGAGCAGGAAAGGAATAAAGGAAATAATATATAAATGGCTGGATAGTCAAAGTAGCTGAATCTTAAAATTTCTTCTCAAGTTTTTTGGTGGATATCTTTAATCCTTAGGAGTCCATGGAATAAATAATATAAATGCTTAAAACTAGTGTAAACAATGTGGTGTTGATTATCTTCTGCACACACCTCTTCACACCTGTTTTGATTTTTCACATCAAGAGGATGGACACTGGTCCTTCGACCCTCTGAGGATGATGTTAAGAAGAAAAGGCTTTTATTATTTTCTGCATTTGCAAATGAGTTACCAAATTTAGCATGTGTGTGTATGTGTGTGTGTGTTTTAGTAGATACTATTTTTTGTCTACAATGAGGGATAAGCTAAAGTGGAGGCATTGATATTAAAAATGTGTTCTTTAAATTTGCATTCTTCCCTCTGGAGCCTGTGGGCACTGAACACGTTATTGATGCAGCAGTTATTGGCGTGATCTCAGAGCAGCATCCCAGGAGACATTTAAGACAAAAATAAATGCAAGTCATGTGTTTTGTGAGGGGCTGTCCATTACTGGTACTTGGAAATTCCTCCAGTCCCTCACAGTTAAGATCCGTGCACCCTGATTCAATTCCTAAAGGGCTTTTTTTTTTTTTTTAAATAACTAGAGTTAACTTTAAAATGACTTTAGTTTTTGGATATAGTTTGAAGCATCTGTGGCATGGAATATAATGATTATATTATATTATGGGTTCTGAGAATCATCACTTATCACTTTCAAAGTAAAATAGGTTCTTATTGGGATTTTATAATTTAGCGTTACCACATATCAGAGAATGTATAGTTTTAGTTCTGGAGAAAACCTGTGAGATGAGTTCATTGTCTTAATGAAGAAACGGGGACCTATGTAAGTTGAATACCTCTCTAGAAGTCTCCAGGTCAGACAGTGATGGCAATACAAACAAGTCTCGTAGTCCCCTGCCAGGTGCCCTTACTACTGTAAAGGGTGCCAGAGGGGTGCTGGAACCTCACTTGGTCACTCTGTATTTGTAAAATAACTTCTTTTGCATTCCTAAAACTTTCAGTTTGAGTCCCAGTATATCCCTTAAAAATCATTATTTTCACGCTCTATAGAAACAATTGTTGTTGTTGTTGAGTTACTAAGTCACGTCCAACTCTTTGCAACCCCATGGATGGTAGCACACCCGTCTCCTCTGTCCTCCACTATTTCCTGGAGTTTGCTCAAATTCGTGTTGAGTCAGTGATGACATCCAACCATCTTACCCTCTTTTGCCCTCTTCTCCTCTTGCCCTCAGTCTTTCCCAGAATCAGTGTCTTTTCCAATAAGTCACCTCTTTACATCAGGTGGCCAAAGTATTGGAGCTTCAGCAAGTCTTTCCAATGAATAATAGAAACAGCACTTGCAATCAGTTGGTTCATTTGCTGCAATAAGGTCCAGCAAAACTGTCCCATCGCCAGCAAACCTACTGTTCACACTGATGCTCAGGAAATAGTTTGGCTGCTGCAGACGTGCTGGTCTCTTCTAGGCCTTTCCTCAGGGCCTACACATCAGACACTCATCTCTGTTCTCCAGAATGCACCATGGTTGTTGTGTTCCTTCCTTCTCTTCTGATTTTGAATTCTTTTCCTTCTCTTTCAGCATTTCTTTGTTTCAGGGTGGTGAAAGGAGACTCTAAGAAGAAAAATATTTTTTTAAATGTAGATTTCACAAGTCTGGATTCAGCCAGAGCAAGGCCAGGGTCATGAGCAGATTCATTTTGCCTTCTGGATGAAAGAAGCATCTGGGTCAAAACCCTTTTACCCACTTTGTTGAATTCACTTTTCTTCAGATATTTTTCTTGGTCCATTTATTTTTCAAGATATCAAAGTGTTTGAGAGCTTTCCCAGATGCTTTTATTTTGGCAGATACACTCTCTGCCTCATACATTTTTATATAAGGGAAAAATCAGTGCTGCATAGGAGGAAGGTGGGAATGGCTCCATTCCTACCTTATTTTCATTTGTTTTGGTTTCTGTGATGCCTAGCATGCATTTTGTGTATCACTTTTGACTTTTTTGTAAAGAAAAACATGTTCTTTCTGAGTGAAATCTTGAGTAAAATTTAGAGACTCAGCAAATAAAACAAGAAATAAATGAGAGGATTTAAAGGAATATTACTATAGTATTTAGCATATTTGATTTTGTATCTCTGAAGATAGCAGAACTAATCTCATCCATTTCCTTCATCATAACTAATTAAATCTGTCAGGGACAGGTTATTAATGTTAGAATGCCATGTATGTGGTGCACGTACATGTGTGTATGTATACACATTTGCTCGTAGATGTTGGCTGTGGTAAGACCAGATACATCTTAACAGATTGCAGAATCACATACGTTAGGTTAGGAGAGAGTCTGTGAATATAGAACACAGTTTAATGTCTATTTACTTTTATGTCCTCTCAGTTTTGGCAAGAGAACAGACCTGATTATGTCAACATTCAGCTGTACCTCAGTCAGACAGATGGGATACAGGTATGTGCCTGGATGTTATTGTAAATTAAACACTTCTCTTGAGAACAGAAGATTTACTGTAGGGGCTGTGCTGGAAGAAAATTTCTGCAGGTGGTTTGAAGAGACCATTCCAGAGGAAAGCCACTTTTGGAATGTATCCAGCAAACTCATGGCTCATCCTTGAAGTCAACCGTTTTCTGCCTTTCATCTGTCCTCACCTGGGACTGAAGTGGACCTCTGAGCTCATGTCTCTCCTTTTCACCGTCACCTCCCTAGAGATGAGAACACAAGTGAATAGTCTTGTGATCGTGTTCACCGAGGGGAGGTTTTCTGTGGCAAGAGAAGATAAGGTCATACACAATTAAGCTTGTTTCTCTTCAAAGGAAACTAAAAAATGAAACATCCATCATGCATTATTTACTTCACTGCTAGACGCTGTATTGAGCATCTCATACACATTATCTCATGTAATTCCAACAGATACAAGAGGTAAATGATATTTTGATCCCCATATCATAGATGAGGAAACTGTATATAGACAACTTTGAGGAGATGTATAGCCATATAAACCTGGGCATGAATGCTTTCACAAGTTTTATTGTTGTATTTTCCATCTTATATTTTCTGTAATTCTTTGAATGCAAAAGATGAATGCTTGTCTGTTACTTCAAAACTAATCTAAGCCTATTTTTTTAGTCAGATTTCTACCCTACTTGGTATGTAAAAACATTTTATTTTATACTGTCATGAAGCAAATCAGTATCATTATGCCTCATGGTTTTGCAGTGATTAAGATATGAAGCATAAATTACATCTTGTTCTCAGTTTGTCTCCCTGGGACTCGGACATTTTTCTTTCTTACTTGACTCTCTTTACCATCTATTCAGATCTAATACTCTTGTTAATTGCAAACAGCAGTCCATTAGAAGTTGTTTTTTGATAGATTCCAAATTTGGAACTCTGCTGTAATAGACTGTCATGTTCAGGATCATTTCCCCAAATTTATGATGACAATTTGCAGTATCTTACTCATATAATGAGCCAAATATGACAACTTTGCAGTACAAAAATGCTTCAACAAAGCTTATGTGTTGCGCACTCTTTGAGAGTAGGCAATTAGAATGCATTCTTTAATGCTGCAGTTGCTTCAAGCAACTAACTGAAGTCTAGGAAAGTCAGTCGTTTGTACTAATGATATTCAAGAAGATAATGGATTTTAAAGGGAAAGAGGGAGGAAATAGTACTTCCAAGTGATTATACTTAATAGGTTGCCATTTGACACTTATATTCTTTATGCCATAGCAATTTAGTAGGAAGCACAGCATCAGGAAAGATGATGTTATAGAAATGAATTATTTGCCCAATTCTGTATCATATAAAACATAGTGTTTTCTTTTTGGCAGAAGATAATTGGAGAAAAATATCAAGCACTGAATTCAAGACTTTTTATTGGACGTCCTCGATGGAAACTTCTGTTTGATGAAATAGCAAAATGTAACAGAGGGTAAGTACTATTCCTCAAAAAATTTGACATGTGGCTAATGATCAAATTAAAATATTAAAGATTATTTAGTAATGGGTTTGCAAATTACAGAGTCACTTAAATACTCAATTATCACTACTGAAGATGGAAGCAAAGCAAGAACCACAAGTATCTGTAATGCCAAATAATTAAAACTTGGCTTAAAAATAGTCTATGAAGTATTTATGAGTCAAACTGTCATACCTACTTTTAAATTTGCATAGATCCATATTAAAAAGAGTGTTCATTCCCTTAGCACAAATTAGGTCATCATTGGGGAAGTTTTTGTAAATCACATTAGCAAACAAGGGAGCTCTTCAAATAGTTCTGGTGCACTTAAAAATTAGATTTTTGGTACATTTTTACCAGAATGAATACATTTTTAAAAAACTGTTAGTTTTTAAAACTGTTAAAGATTTTAATATTTCTCTAAATCAGAAATATTTCCAAACATTTTTTCTTGAAAGCTATAATTCAATAAAAAAATCTTAGACTTATGGGCTGTATGTCTATGCTCTGAAGAGATTACTGTTGAAAGAAAGCATTCATTTTTGGGTACAGAATAGGGAGCCTGTTTGGTAATCTGTAAAATTACCATAGTGCAGGGCAATGATCTATACAAATTCTAAAAGTATTTTGAAAACCATATACCCACTCACACATTTTAAAGCTGGCATTGATAAAGTTTTATCAGAACTTTAAAGAGTTCCAAAGGCTGCAATTTCTAACATATTGCAGATATTGACATTTTAAAATTAATGTAACTTTTAAACATATCTGCTGGAATCTAAATATCATAGTTTCTTAAAACCAACCTCATATATTTGTGTCTTTTGTAACTTTCATGGTCAGTTCGAAATTTTATATCACTCTTTTGTCTGCTGGAACTAGAACTTATATCCTGCCTAACCTGCAGAATTTTACCAAATTCAGTATAATTTTGCACTTTAATGAATTATACTTTTGCTGGTAAACTAAACACACTTACACAATAAGAATGTATATAAATTGAAGATTTAATTTTTAAAATTTCCTGTGACTCTAAGGAATCAGATCATTTTTTTACAATTATTAATGTATAGCTTATTAATTCATAATTTTGAAGGTATATTTTGATAAATATAAAAGGATATTTGATTTTAATTGAATGAGGCAGTCTGTTAGATGAAAAGTTTTTTTTTAAACTGCAGTTTATAAATTTATGGATGAATATGATGTATTGAAATAATCTCTGATTCGTCATGGTGTTTTGGGGTCATCTTCAGAGACTTTGTTCTAGGAATCATGGTTTGAAACCCTTTAAGCAAAATCTATAAAGGAAAATAGTGACTCATGTAATTCAAACTGCATCCATGTTTGAAAGCACTTCTGCATTTCCTTCCCTTCATGAAATAACTGTGGGTTAAAGACGAAAGCATATTTTAGAAAGCAGAGGTCCTTTGTAATATACAGGGTTCTAGTTAAAGGTGAAATATTGGATAAAGAAAAAAGTTAACTCAGTTTTGGGTAATATTCTTTCCATTCTTTCTTCAAAATCATCCACCTTAGATGTGATAATCTTCTCATACTCACCTGAGTCTTCCCATGTACCACAGACTCCTTCTTCCCTAATGACATTTCAGTTCAGTTCAGTGTAATTGCTTAGTCATGTCTGACTCTTTGTGGCCCCATGGACTGCAGCATACCAGGCTTCCCTGTCCATCACCAACTCCCGGAGCTTGCTCAAACTCATGTCCATTGAGTTGGCAATGCCATCCAACCATCTCATTCTCTGTCATCCCCTTCTCCTCCTGCCTTCAATCTTTCCCAGCATCAGGGTCATTTCTCATGAGTCAGCTTTTCGCATCAGGTGGCCAAAGTACTGGAGTTTCAGCTTCAGCATCAGTCCTTCCAGTGAATATTCAGGACTGATTTCCTTTAATATTGACAGGTTGGGATTCTCAGCCCGTCCAAGGGACTCTCAAGAGTCTTCTCCAACACCACAGTTCAAAAGCAGCAATTCTTCGGTGCTCAGCAAGAAATTACAGTGGGATTTTTGGTTTCTTTGGTTAGTTCTCCAGAGTTCTGCTTTGTTTCACTGTTCATATTGTGAGGGATTTTGTGTTTGTTCGGTTGTTTGTTCATTTTCTTAAAAAAACAAAGCTGATTTAAGAAGAGCAAGTGTGTACCATTGTATTGTACCACTGTTGACATTTTGTATTAGTACAACACGTTCACTTTGTGTTTTTGCTTGGGACAGGCACCTAAAATGCATTATTTTTTGAAAGATTTTTATGTAGCATTACTAGAATAAGAATGGATCAATATCTTAAGGGTTCATTAACTGGGAAAAGGCACTATTTAAATAGAAGTCTCCATTTTAGATGTAAAATTTTGGTTAACTTCATAGACTTAAATTCCTGAGAGAATATAAAGAAGTAAAAATACAGAAGAGAGTCATAGAAATTTTCACAAATGTTTGAGAGTGGTTACTTCCTTGTATGTCTTTTTAAAATAATTTATTACACATGAGATTCAGTTTCCTATCATTTATAATAAAAATATGTGTCATATCTTAACTTAGTTGCATGTACACATCATGCAAAGGGGGAGATAAATAATTAACTTTATGTGACCTCTGGAGTAGAGAAAACTCTTCTGTGATTGGATGAAATGTCTTAGACATATCTGTATTTTACTACTTAATGATATTTTGAAAACAAAACAAATTAAGTGTACCTAGGTTTGGTCTCTGACATTTGCTCCTGTGTCCCTGAGTCATGTCACTCAAACCTTCTGAATCTATAATACAAGGAGTGAATAATCTCTAGGAGTGAATAAACTTTCATTAAACGAGATCATACACTTTAATAATGCATGGAAAAACAACTGTTGGTATGATAGGAAAATATTCACAAATATGTTGAACATTTATGGAACTAGTTGCCAACATCTGTCCCCAAACAACATTGTCTTCTGGCACCTAAGTTTGTCTCTATCCATCTCTACAAAGTTTTTGTAGGTAAATCTCTAGATGGTTGTTGGACTGCAGTAACCTAATGAAAATTTGTGCAAATGAATTAAAAAGATAGATTGTAGATCTTGAAAAGTTGTAGGATGTCATTGTTAGTGAAAGTGACATGGGAAAACCTTTCAAATAACATAAAGATCTCCTAGAGTTAAACTACTTAACAATTGGATGACAAAAATTTTTTTTTTAAATCATATATGGTGCTTTAAAAATAATGTTTTATTTTGAAGTATTCAAGATATGCCTTTAGGAAATCTGCAAAATTTGAAAATGTGAATCTACATTTGCCTATGAAAGCCAAGAAAGCAAATGCTATCTTCTCGTCATAATGCAGTGTTGATAGAGACTGTATACAAATTGTATAAAAACAGTTCAGTTCAGTCGCTCTGTCGTGCCCAACTCTTTGCAACCCCATGAATCGCAACACAGCAGGCCTCCCTGTCCATCACCAACTCCCAGAGTTTACTCAAACTCATGTCCATCGAGTTGGTGATGCCATCCAGCCATCTCATCCTCTGTCACCCTCTTCTCCTTTGCCCCCAATCCCTCCCAGCATCAGGGTCTTTTCCAATGAGTCAACCCTTAGCATGAGGTGGCCAAAGTACTGGAGTTTCAGCCTCAGCATCAGTCCTTCCAATGAACACCCAGGACTGATCTCCTTCAGGATGGACTGGTTGGCTCTCCTTGTAGTCCAGGGGACTCTCAAGAGTCTTCTCCAACACCACAGTTCAAAAGCATCAATTTTTCGGCACTCAGCTTTCTTCACAGGCCAACTTTCAAGAGGCTTTTTGGTTCCTCTTCACTTTCTGCCATAAGGGTGGTTTCATCTGCATATCTGAGGTTATTGATATTTCTCCCAGCAATCTTGATTCCAGCTTGTGCTTTTTCTAGCTCAGCGTTTCTCATGATGTTCTCTGCATATAAGTTAAGTAAGCGTGGTGACAGTATACAGCCTTGACGTACTCCTTTTCCTATTTGGAACCAGTCTGTTGTTCCATGTCCAGTTCTAACTGTTGCTTTCTGACCTACATACAGGTTTCTCATGAGACAGGTCAGGTGGTCTGGTATTCCCATCTCTTTCAGAATTTTCCAGTTTATTGTGATCCACACAGTCAAAGGCTTTGGCATAGTCAATAAAGCAGAAATAGATGTCTCTGTATACAAAAGATACTGTCTCAAAAATGAAACAAAATGTCTCATTCCCTTTTCATCTTAATGACAAATATACTATTACTGTTTTTTTGATGATTATATTTTTTTCAGTAGTACAGTTTTATTCATTTTAAGTAATCTATTGTGTCTAGCCCTGGTTTTAATAGTAACCTACATTTTATCAAGTGTAAGAATTTATTTTCATACTTTTTTTTTCTTATTTTCTTCTGCTCCTTTGGATTTAATTAGCTCTTCTTTTACTAGTCACTTTAAGATGGAACCATAGCTCACTGATTTAAGATCTTTGTCTTTTTATAATAAAAATTTTTAGTACTATAAATTTCCCTCTAAACATCACTTTAGCTACATACCACACATTTTGATGTGTTTTATTTTTATCTTTACATACATCAAAATGTTTCTAAATTTTTCATGTGATTTCATTCTGTCCCACTGGTTATTTATCTATTTTTAAAATTTGCACTTGTTTGTTTATTTTTGGCTGTGCTGGGTCTTCCACTGCATGGGCTTTTCTCTGGTTGTTGTGTATGGGTTTTTCTTTGCGGTGGCTTCTCCTGTTGCAAGCATGGGCTCTAGCACGCTCAGGCTTTGGTCAGTTCGACATGTGGGCTCGGTAATTCTGGCTCTGGATTAAAATATTGTTCATTTGTCCAGCTTTATTGAGAAATAACTGACATACAGTTGTGTACAGTGTAACAGTTAGATATCTATCTGTTGCAAAATGACTACCCAAATAAAGTTAGTTAACATATCACCTCACATAAGTTTGTGTTTGTGTGGCAAGAACTTTTAAGATCTA